TTCTCTTAGCATAAAACACCACCAGGACTCAATGCATCACATCTGGTGAAAATGAAAAATAATAACATCTATTTTTTTTATAGACTTTCAGTGTCTTATATATAATAGTCTCTCAGTGAATTTCAATGATTATAGTCATTGAAACATCATTATTTTATCGTTTTTTTTTACTTTTTGTTGTTTGTTTGTTTTTTTCGTTTCTCAATTGGTGAATGATGATCTTCATTGTCTTTGTCTGTTTGCGTATGTGATTGTATCATTATTTTAATTAATTAATTAATGGAAAAAAAGGAAATCTGATTATAATGACATTTATACAAGAAAAAAGAAATAAGGTTCATTAAGCCAAATTCAGTAGAAATAGGTGAAAAACAAAAACAAAATTTTATCACCAGAAAACAACCAAAACTTATCAAATATCAAGATTACATTAGTGTTTACCTTTTTTGTTTTGTTGTTGTTGTTGTAAAATATATTAATATTATTTTCATATACAAAAAAAATTCATTACAAGTCAGTTTTTTTTTATTATTATAATATTAAAACGATATTAGATTTTGCTTTTCTCTGAAAATATTATTATTATAAATAATAATTTATTATTATAAATATATAACGGAATTATAATCATTCATCCATCCATCCATGCATCCATTTTTTTTATAAAAAAAACATGTTTATTATTATTATTTTGCTGGATTTTTATTTTTATTTTTTTAGTTCACAAAATACAAATAATAATAATAATAATAATAACAATATTTATTAATCTAAATCTAGATGATTTTTTTTTTGTTATATATTTTCGTTTGAAGATGCAGCAAGAAAAAAAACCGGATGCTTTGAATATCCGTTCCAAAGATGATGATGATGATGATATCATCGAATGAATCAGAAGAAAAAAAAGTTATTACATTTTTTTTCTGTTTGACAGTAAGAGAGAGAGAGAGAGAGAGAGAGAGAGAGAGAGAGAGAGAATCTGTATTATATATGATGATCATATGATGATGATGATGCTTGCGATGATGATTTCTCTTCTTCATTCTCACTTTTTTTTTATATTTTCTGCATAAAATCGGGCAATGTTAGTTGATTGATTTTCGTTTCGTTTCGTTTTTGTTGCTTCAGGTTTGTTGATTGTTTTTTACATGATGGAAAAGAATCAATGTTGGTTGGTTATTTTCTGATTTTCATTATCATTCGTTATGAAAATGAAAATGAAAATGATGTATTGACCGGAATGGCCTCGATTTTTTACTTTTCTCTTGTTGGCTGTTTTTTTTTCTTCTTCTTGCTATTTCATTTCTCATTTTGATCAAACAGTGTCGACATCAGAAAATAAATAATAAATTTATTCTGTGTTTCGGAATGTGTGTGTGTGTGTGTTTGTGTAAAAAAGTAAAGTGAAAATGAAAGTAGAGAAAAAAAAAGTTATTAATACCTGGGAAAGAAAATATTTCCTCCTCGTTGATTGAAATGAATGCACTGAATGAACAGAATTTCACTTTCACCATTGAATGGGTTATTTGTTTTTTTTATTCTTGGTTCGGTTCTTGGTTCTGTTTTTTTATTTCGGTCCGGTTGATGTTTGATTTTTTTTATTTGGCTCGATAAACATGTATTTTTTCGTTCATTCATTCATTATGTTGATTCAATTCATTTATTTTCATCAATGATGGATGATTGAATGAATGAAATAAACATGTAAAAAAATGTATTTTTGGAATCAATTTTCATTATCATTATTAATATATTCAATGACAAACAAACAAACAAACAAACAACAAAATTTCATAAATAAAAATGGCTTATGGCCATTTTCATGTATATGGAAATGAAAACAAATTTGCAAACTTTTGAATTATCACGAGATTTTTTCTTCTTTCTTTCTCATCAATAAAATTTTCCCGAAAAGATTTTTTTCCGGGAAATTTTTCTCTGCTAATTAATCATTGATAGTGAGGTAGAAGAAAAGAATCGGTGTCGATATAGTTTGACTGGAATGATTTAAAAATTTCCAAAAAAAAATTAGAAATTTTTAAAAAACAACATGAAAAAAACAAAGTCAAAAGCCGATTGTCATCATTATCATCAAAAATTATATATGTAGGGCCTAGCAATGGTTTAATTAACATCCATTAAAAGTAAATCCATTTGCCATTTTCCATTGAACATAACAAACAAAAAAAATCATTACAGTTACTGAATGAGAGAGTGTGAAAAAACACATTTAACCCAGGCTTCTTCTTCCACTTTTTTCAGACTAATTCCAAAACATTATTATTGCTGTTCATCATCAACTTCTTCTTTTTCCTCTGGATGATGATTATGATTAGATTCTTGTTTTTTTTTTGTATTTTTCTCATTCGATTTTCTCATTCAATAATAAAAAATAAACACCTCGCTTCTTTCATTCGAATGTTTTAATGTGAATTTGTTGTGTGTGGGGGTGGGTGTTAAAAATTGCTTACAACATTGGATTTTCACTGAAACAACTCTTTTATTTTTCAAACAACATTCCAAAATCGCTTTAGCTTTTTAATGGTTCTTTTCTTTTGTTTTGTTTTGTTTTACAATTGGGAATCATTCTTCTTTTCCAATTTTCTTCAATTTTTTATTTTTCTAATGAAAAGTCATCATTTTAAGATTAACATTATTGCCGGACTAATATTATCTTTGAAACAAAAATAGATGATGATGATGTTCCAATTGGAATCGACAGTCAGTCAGTCAGTCAGTCAGTCATTCGAATGGCTTTCTTCTTAACACTTTGCTATAAGCTGTGTTGCAAAAAAAAAAATCCACCCACACACACACAACAAACTCATCAACACATCACTAGCCATTCATTCATTCATTCACAATTCGATTGGTTTGGATATTTTCTTCCCTTGATGAGGATTTCAAACTGAAAGGCAAAAACAAACAAAAAAACATGAAATGTTAAAATAGCCAAAAAAAAAGAAAAGAATCGTCATTTTCGTAATTCTTTTCTTGTTTTTCTCCCAAAAGAAACAACAACAAAAACAGTAGCTAATCATCATTAAGAGAATAATTCGCAAAAAAAAAACAACCAAACCAACCCGAATCATATAACAATTCGGATAGTTTTTGAAACTATAGCCAGAAAATAGAAGAGGAAACATTATCATCACGTTTTATTTTCTTCTTCTTCGCTTCTTGGTCGTTCGTTTTTGATATATCGCGTGCCTTTTCTTTTTTTTCTGATTCTAAAATACCCACTACACACACACACACACAAAGTGTGTTACAATATTACTTAACAAGGCTTAAATTAGCACACACACACTCTCTCTCTCTCTCCTTCTTTCTTTTTTATTTCATTCTTTTATTGTCAAATTTTTGATTCTTTTACTGTGTGTAATGTGTGTGTGTGTAAATAGTCGATTGTTTCGTTTTTATTGGAAAAATAAACCTAATTTTAACCTAGTTTTTTTTCAAAACTACTAAGCTTTCTGAGTTGAAAGAAAAAAATTTCAAACATAATACGCCCCCATCATCATCATCATCAATGTTGTTGTTTCACGATTGGTATGCATCTTTGAACCAAAAAAAGAAGAAAAGATTCAAGTTTTTTTTTCAAAATGATGATGATTATCATCATCATTTTCTTTTCACTATAGTAATCAGAAAAATTCGTTTAACTTTGACATTTTCCGGGAAATTTTCTCCGGAAAAAAACCTTGTGATTTCTTTTTTTCCATCATTCGTTTGCTACATACATTAATCAATCAATCAATCAATCGATTGATTTGAAATGTTTTTAAAAAAATTTAAAAAGGATTTTTTTTTTCGTTTTTGCATCGAGCCGTAAAATGAATTTGAAAAACGAACGGAAAAATTATGAAAATTATCATTTATGTTTGGTGAATTGTCTAAGTGTTTTTCATCATCATTT